TGTGTACGTGTGTGTGTGTGTGTGTGTGTGTGTGTGTGTGTGTGTGTGTGTGTGTGTGTGTGTGCGAACGCATGGTGGGTGGCGGGGGGTGCCACCACTCAATCAATTAATCAATCAATGAAAGAAAAAGCAAAATCGAATGAATCAATCAATCAATCAATCAGTCAATCAATCAAGGGGGGGTGGGGCGACCCCGCCCCAACCAATCAATCAATCAATCAATCAATCAATCAAGGAAAAGAAAAAAAAAGTAAAATCAAATGAATCTTCCGCTAGAACATGGGAATATACAATCCTACCTATGTGTGTGTGTATGTGCACCTGTGGGGCCAATCAATCAATCAATCAATCAATCAACGAAAGAAAGAAAAAAAATACGTGCTGTTCTTTCTATTTTAATTTTTCTTTAAAATACCTTCACTCACCCAAACCCCCCCACACAGAAATTAGCTTTTTTTTTTTTTTTTTTGTATGAGGGGGTGGGGCTGGGGATACGCCGCCCCATGGCGCTTCCAGAATCCCGAACCCCATCGCGGCCTAGGCCGCGGATGGCCGCCGCTGAGGGGGATTCATAGGTGGGCATGCACCAGGGGCGACCTCGGGGCGGTTGGGTGTCACCTTTGAGCCGAGTAAAGGTTCCCCCAACGACTGGGCTGGCCGGTGTCTTTTCCCAAGAGATCAGGGATGGCTTTGACCTGTGTCCCCACTCAAATGGACCTGCCCAGCGCCTGGGAAGGAACCTGTCCACAAAACAACAAATTTAATGGGTAGAAGGCGCCCACGCCAAAACCTTTTCGTTTTTGGCCGCCCAAAGTTTAGCCGTTTGGTACTACCGGCCCACTGACTTGCATCTGGGGTACTACAGGCCCACACGTCCCTCCAAGGGTCCTACGGGATCATGAATCTGGCGCACAACAGCGCCAGATTCATTTTGATGTAAAAGACCCGGGGGGTGGTATCGCTGAAGTATCGAACCACGTACGCGATTTTGAAAAAGAAGGGCCCTACCGGTTCATGAATCTGGCGCAGCAACAGGGCCGAATTCTTGAACGGGTAAAAAGAGGCCCAGGGAGATGTGGCCACGGCGCGAAGGCGCCTTTCACCCAGGGGAAAGTTGTTTGGGCCGGTAGTACCAAACTGACGAACTTTGGGCGGCCAAAACCGAAAAGGTCTTGGCCTGGGCTCTTTCTACCAATTATCCCACATTGCTCAAACCTAACATGCCCCATGCCTGAAGCGCCACCAGGTGTTATTCTTGCCTTTAAAAACTGAAACACCAGGGACCTCCCAAACAAGTGATTTCTTTGCTTATTCCAAACTACAGCTGTGACTTGAACATCTTGCCCCAGCGCCCCCCCCAACCAAACAAAAAAAAAAACAGCGTATGCTGGGTTGTTTACACGAAAAAAAAAAAAAAAAAAAAAAACAGCATTCGGCCCTGCGTGTGGGTGGGTGTGAATATGTGTGTGTGTGCCTGTGCGGCGGGGGGCTGCGACTCCTACATTACTGAACAATCAATCAATAAAAAAAAAAAAAAAAACCAAGAAAAACAAAAAACAGTGTTCGACACTTCGACACTGTGTGAGTGTGTGTGCGTGTGAAGTGGGAAGTGCAACAACCCCCTACTAATCAATCAATCAATCAAACCTAGGATCAAACACACAAGCGATCAATCAATCAATCAACCAATCAATCAATCAATCAATCAAGGTTTGTTTTTTCTAACACACCCCACCCCCACCACAAAAAAAATGGTTCGGCTCTATTTTCGGGGGGTGATGAGTTTCTTTTTATAACCCCCCTGTAAACTCCCAATTTGGGCCCCCCGTTCTTTTTTTTTCTTTTGTTTTACCTTCGCGGGGGCTGAGGCCGGGGTTCCCCCCGCGGAATCTTCACCCCGACTGCAGGAACCCTCTCCCCTCGGCCGCGGTGGGCCTTTCTCAACCGCGACCGCCGCGGTCACGACCTCCGCGACCGTGGCCGCTGGGGATACATAGCATGGGGCCGGTCAATTCAATGATAAGAGCGCGTGTCATGACTAGTGGAAGTTCTCTTTCAAATTCAGCAAGGATGAACTAACACGAAATATTCAGCAAGGATGAACTAACACGAAATCACAGTCCACACACAGAGAGAGAGAGAGAGAGAGAGAGAGAGAGAGGCGGGGACGGAGACGGCGA